TCAAATACAACATTCCTTGAAATGCTAGAGAAGACATGCGAGGGAATGTTTGGTCCAGCCAGTCAAAACTTCCTGTTTCTCCTGGCTGGAGCATCCTTGCTTTTGCATGTGATAGAAGGTGGGTGTGACCTAACCTGTCCAGGTAACGAAAGGACGAGTCACACAGCAACCTTTCCTCTTTTTGACTTCCTTCTTCGTTTGACCAGCTTCTAGCTAGGACTGCTCTGCTAGCTCTCAGCTAGCAGAAGCACTGGGATTATTCCCCCATATGGGATAGATCCACATGTACATATCAGTAACTAAGTCTGCCTTCAGGAATCCAACCGTGAACTGATGTAAGTAAACTTATTTTATTGACTTTGAATAAGATTGTGGCGTCTTTATTCTTTTAAGAGGGATTCAAGGGAACTTTCCAGGAAAGTACAATTCAATCTGAAGGCAGACTGAGTTGTATAATAGTGAGAGGCTCACACAAGCCTGCAACCAGCTATCTGCTGTGCATGTAAAAAGGGGAATGTAACTCTGCTAAGTAAAGGAACTTGCGAGTGCAAGTTAGGAAGGATATTAATAAACAATATATCCTCTCCTGCCACCCTGAACATTCCCACACGTGGGGGTGTGGATGTTTCTTCCCAGAGAGCCACAGCCAGCCAGTGTCCACAACACTCAGCTACATGGATCAATGATCTACCTTAGCAGTTTCCTATGTTCCAAACTGTCTAGTTGCATTAGGAATGGAAAGCCACTTTGTGTGATCTGTGCCCAAAGGGTGACCTGTAAATGAGTTTATTATAGATGATACAGCAGCAACATGCCTAGCATTACTTGGGGAGTCTAAGAAATGGGGGGAATCCGTACAATTTTGAAATTGGTGACTAAAATCAGTGCGCTTTCAGAAAGGTCGGTCTGTCAGTCAGGTCAGTGACCTTGCACATACAGTGGTACCTCAGGTTAAGTACTTAATTCGTTCCAGAGGTCCGTACTTAACCTGAAACTGTTCTTAACCTGAAGCACCACTTTAGCTAATGGGGCTTCCCGCTGCTGCCGCGCCACCCGAACCACGATTTCTGTTCTCATCCTGAAGCAAAGTTCTTAACCTGAAGCATCTGTAACCTGAAGCGTATGTAACCCGAGGTACCACTGTACAGTGGTACTTCGGGTTACAGACACTTCGGGTTACAAACTCCGCTAACCAGGAAGTGGTTGCTCCAGGTTAAGAAATTTGCACCAGGATAAGAATGAAAATCGTGTGCCAGCGGCAGCAGGAAGTCCCATTAGCAAAAGCACGCCTCGGGTTAAGAACGGTTTCAGGTTAAGAAGGGACCTCTGGAACGAATTAAGTTCTTAACCCGAGGTACCACTGTACATCCAAATTATTTCTGAGGGCACCATCTTGATTCGAAATGGTCTCCAACCATATCCAAACTCCTTGATCTGAGTAACTGTGATGCAAAATCAGGGCTGTTTTGAAAAGTTTGCTCCCAAAATGCATTCTATTAGGCAAAACATTTTTAAAAATGTATATATTAGGGGAAATCCACACTGAATTGCTGGTGAGTTTTCATGAGGACTAAAAAAGTGAGAGAGATAGCAAACAATAGGTTTTGCGCCTTTATATGGAGAATGCAGTGCCGGATATATATATAAACTAAACAAGCTATAGCTTAGGGCCCCACTCTCTTGGGGGCCCCAAAAAATTTTAAAGGGGGAAAACACTGGGTGTACATTTCCAAAATACAAGATAAAAAACAAATAAAATAAAACCTACATACAGCAACAGTGTTTTGTGTTGTGTAGGCTGCTATGATGTAAGTCATGGGCCCCACCTGCTAGCCTGCTCCCTCAAATATCACTGGTTTGCTCCTTTCTATATATAGGGTGCCTACATTCTGCATGTGCAAATGGCTTGAGATATCTCTCAGGTCCATAAATTACCATATAGCATATATTCAACAACAAAAAACAGTGGCAATTTGTTGTGGGCAAAGGACTGCTGGACATATAAAGGGCCCCATTACCTTCCATAGCTTAGGGTCTCATAAATCCTAAATCTGGCCCTTGGAGAATGGATTTCATTTTTTTTTTTAATGATATTTATTGAAAATTTTAGAATTACAAAAGAAAACAAAGAAGAAAAAGAGAAAAAAAGAAAGAAAAAACAGAGAAAAGACAAACCACAATCCAACAATACAGATTAATAAAAATCAAGATCAAAAAATAACACAACACAATTAAAAAACAAAAATATGTCACAAACATTTAAAAACAAATCCCATATTCTCAACTCTTTAACTGTCATTACCTTCTTTCTTTGACCTCCTCCTCCTCCCTTTTTTGTATCCTAGTTGTTAATTGTCACAGCAAATCCTTTCCATATTTCATGATATTCTGTCATTACTTTACCTTAATCTATTTTAATCTTATCTTACTATGAAAACCTTAAAACTTAAAACTTAAATCTTATTTTTACCAATTTTTCATAACCATAATATTCTTACATAATTCTTTAAACATTTTTACTAGAGCCAAATAATTTCGTTTCAACATCTTTCTAACATTCATCAATTTTATAAAACAATCATAATAAAAAAGAAAGAATAACAATCCAATCTTCATCCAGCGTCTCTTCCTCCTGGACCCGGGTTTTGTCAGTCCTTTCTATCCCATCAGTCTGGCGCATTAACCTGGTAACCTTATGTCCGAGGCCCTTAAGTCCCTTCCATGTCCCTTCCGCAGCTCTTCTTCATATTTATAGCTGTATTTTCCTTTGTCTCCTAGTTCTTTCACTCTTGGGAACTCCAGCTTGAGAATGCTTTTGACCCTTCTCGACAAATCAGCCCCTTTTCCATAGTCCACACTAAGCTCCATGTGATATTTAAGAACATGTTTCAAAATCCCTCCAAAATTGAGAGCCCCCACAACCCCAAACATCTCACGGCCCATTGCCAGACTCGAAAAGTCCAAACCTCCCTGCATAGGGGGGTCTATCCAACCCCCCATTTCCAAGCCAAACCAAATTTTATCTTTCCAAATCTGGCTTTTTCCAAGTTCATTTGTCAAAAAAAAAAAGAAAAAAAGAGAGAGAGAATGGATTTCACGCACAGGCCAAGTGATAAAAAGTGAAAACATTTCCTGGAGGACTCACCTGGGCGCTTCCCCTCGCCTTTTATCGCCCAGCACTGGCTTTTGCTATATGTCTGCTAACTGCTTACAACACTCCTCTAGCTCTCGAGAGCCATGTTACGTTGCTCTTAAACCAGCCTTTCTCAACCTGCGGGTCCCCAGATGTTGTCGAACTACAACTCCCATCACCCCTAGCTAGCAAGGCCAGAGCTCAGGATGATGGGAGTTGTAGTCCAACAACATCTGGGGACCCACAGGTTGAGAACCAGTATCTTAGAGGGTCCTGCTTAGAGCATCTCTTTTCAAGCCCTAAGCACATCCTGTCACTTGTGCTTCAGGTTCTGGCCTCTTTGACTCAGGTCAAGCGCATGTTGCCACTATGGCAAACTTAGGCCAATTAATTTCCATGGGTCTACTTTGAGTAGAACTTACTTGGCTGCTAAACGGCTCATGTTTTGTCCTGGGGAGGAAAATGAAAACCATACCCATCATGTTGGCCTAGTCTCTGGTCCCACAATCCCCCAGAGTGAAGAGAAATCCGCTCTGTGTTTGAAGCAGTCAATGGAACAAGTCAGCGACGGCAACATAAAAATTCTGGGTTCGTGTTTACACTCTGCATTTTTTCCTTTGGTGTTGGTTCCTTTTCTTTGTGGCTTGCTGTCTTGTTTCGTTCCCACAGAACCAGCCTTGCCCAACAGCCACATGTGTGTACTAAACAGTTCCAGGGACAAATTCCCATGGAAGCGTCATCCCGTCAGATGTTGCTGTTTTTGATCCCTTTCCTACTTTTGCAACCCCCTCCTCCTTCCGCAGTGCAGCTTCCTGCGCAAGACTCATCTTCGCAGGCCGATAAACAACCCAGAAACGCCGTGCCAGACTTCCAAATCAGCATGGAAAAGAAGAAGAAGAAGAAGAAACATCACCGCAATTAGTGGTGGGCACCATATTCTCCACTCAGTTCAGAATTGGGTTCCACCAACCAAAGCTTTAGAACAGGGATAAGAAACCTCTGTATGTGGGGGTCTCCATCAGCCCCAGTCAGCACTGGCTGACAGTGAGGGATAATGGGAGTCCAGCAACATCTAGAATCATAGTTGGAAGCATTGAGTTGGAAGGGACCACGAAGGTCAGCTACTCCAACCCCCTGCAATGCAGGAATCTTTTGCCCAACGTGGGACTCGGACCCAGAACCCTGAGATTAAGAGTCTCATTCTCTACTGACTGAGCTATCACAGCTTCCCCGAACCCTGCTTTAAAAATACAGTATTTTTCGCTCTATAGGACGCACCCAACCATAGGACGCACCTTGTTTTAGAGGGGGAGAACAAGAAAAAAAATTCTCCCCCTCTCTGCTCAGCGCCCCTTCAGCGAAGCAGCAGGAGAAATGGAGCCCCGTCCATTAATCCTCCCACTTGGCTGAAGGGGCGCTGCGCAGCTCTCCCTCTCTGCTGAAGCCAGGAGAGTCTTGCTCTCCCAGCTTCAGCAAAAGGAACCTGAAGCCTCTGGAGCGCAGCGGGAACTCGTGATGCGCTCTGAAGGCTTCAGGTGGCTATCCCCGAAGCCTGGAGAGCTAGAGGGGTTGGTGCGCACTGACCCCTCTTGCTCTTCAGGCTTCAGCGAAAGCAACACGTAGCCTCCGTAGCACGGAGGGAGCGCTCCCTCTGCGCTTAGGAGGCTTCGCGTTGCTATCGCCGAAGCCAAGGAGCCTGCATTCGCTCCATAGGACGCACACACATTTCCCCTTAATTTTTGGAGGGGAAAAAGTGCATCCTATAGGATGAAAAATACGGTACATGTCAGTAAGTCAGGAGCACAAGGATTAGAGGGGTCTAACCCCAGCTACAGAAGGAATGGTTGATTGTTAAGACAAAGGAATTTTACGACAGCTGCTCAAAGTCAGAGATGGTGATCTTCTTGCTTATCTTGCCGTTCCTTGACCCAAAGCGCTCCATTGCTTCCACAATATTCGTTCGATCTTTGACTTTGCTGAAGACCACATGTTTACCATCCAGCCAGTCAGTTTTGGCAGTGCAGATGAAGAACTGAGACCCATTTGTATTGGGACCAGCGTTTGACATAGACAAGATGCCAGCACCGGTGTGCTTGAGGACGAAGTTCTCATCAGCAAATTTCTCACCATAAATCGATTTGCCACCTGTTCCATTATGGCGAGCAAAGTCACCACCCTGGCACATGAACCCAGGAATGATTCTGTGGAAGCAGGACCCCTTGTAACCAAAACCTTTCTCCCCAGTGCTTAAGGCACGAAAATTCTCTGCTGTCTTTGGAACCTTGTCTGCAAATAGCTTCGAAGGTGACGCACCCCATGGGCTTGCCGCCGGCGGCGACATCAAAAAACACGACTGGGTTGGTCATGATGGCAGCGATGAGTCGAATAAAGGAAGGGGGTAGCTTAAAAAAAAGAAAAGAAAACCACCAGCGGCGGTAACAGGCAGCACTAGCATCAACCCCTCTCCACACAGTAAGGAGTGCGGCACATGTCAGGAAAACAGCATATTTGTTTCCTAAGCCCAGTTAGGAATTTGAACCCGTTGGTGCTGAGATACAATACATCGGAAGCCGTCTTATTGGCAGTCGGACCTCCAAGGATTCAGGCAGGGGACCTTGCATGTAGAAAGTCCCTGATTCAATCTCTTGCATCTCCAGGTAGGGCTGGGAGAGGTTCTTGTTCAGGGGTAAAAGAGAACCTGCTTGCATCACTGATATCCCCCTATGACACGGATGAGAAGCCTTTGGTCCTCCAGGTATTGCTGGACTCCAGTTCCCATCATCCCTCAGCGATGGTCCTGTTGGCTGTCATTGATGAGTGTTGGAGTTCAGGACCATATGGAAGGAGACAGGGTCCCCATTTCCGGCCTAGAATGTGCTCAGTGTGTCCTGGGACACATATTACCCAGGGCGATGCTAAGCTCCAACTCGACTTCTTCCTCTTCTTCTTTGGTGACCCCTCGTAGCTGAGTGAGATTGTCTTCCATGAACACGGTCTTAACAGTGAGTCTGTAAGTGGCTGTGGAGGCCAATTCTGGATCCACACGTCCTTCCACAGTGGGGACATAGGTTTCCAAGCAGGAGCTGATCACAGTGAGGGTTTGCCAAGCGTGCCTTCCTCTTAGCACGTTTCTCCCTTTCGTCTTGAGTTCAAGCGTCTTCAAGGCCCATGACACCTTTGGTAAAGGCTGTTCTCCAACTGGAGCACTCGCAGGCCAGTGTTTCCCAGTTGTCGGTGTTTATGCTACAGTTTTAAAGATTTGCCTTGAGACAGTCTTTAAACCTCTTTTGTTGACCACCAGCATTACGCTTTCCATTTTTAAGTTCGGAATAGAGTAGTTGCTTTGGAAGACGATCATCAGCCATCCGCACAATATGACCAGTCCAACAAAGTTGATGTTGAAGAATCATTGCTTTGACACTGGTGATATTTGTTTCTTCCAGTACACTGGCATTATTTCACCTGTCTTCCCAAGCGATGTGTAAAATTTTTGGGAGGCACCATTGATGGAATCTTTCAAGGAGTTGGAGATGGTGTTTGTAAGCAGTCCATGTTTCACAAGCATACAGTAAGGTTGGTAGTACAATAGCTTTGTAAACAAGCATTTTGGTTTCCCTGTGAATGTCCTTAAACACTCTGGTCCTCAAACCAAGTGTGAGCAGCAGCCCATCTCCCAGAATCCTCTGCAAGGCATACTTCTTCCATGGCAGATGCACCCATGTTTAAATGGTTCCCTGGCTAAATGTAGGGCATTTGAAAGTCCATGGCTTAAGAGGTTTCTAGCTGGATGAAAGGTGCATACCACTGAGGAAAGACCAGCCCATCTTATATTTCAGACCACATGTGCTTTTTGTTCAGGAGAACATATTTCTCTGGTTTTTATATGGCACCAAAAGCAACCACAGCAACTGCTCTTAAAATACACGGGCTTGCGGGTTTCTTTGCAATTTAATCCCAAACACATCAGAGAAAAGGCCTTTGAAACTCAATGTAAAATTTCTCCTCCTGTTACCAAAATCTCTCTGTCCAGCCTCCTTCTTCCCGCTCGGTCCATAGGGATGCCCTCAGCTGTCAGAAACAGATCCCAAGATGACCAATGCTTGCTTTATTTATTTGTTTATTATTATTTTTTATTTATTAACTTTGCATACCACAGGGCAGTTCACAACTATGTGAACTTGTTGGAAGTGCAACAGCAGAGATCGTGAAGGGGCAGCGATGGGGGAATGTAGGAATGGGAGAGAAATTTGACTTGGTTTGCATTTCCATGTGAACCGATCTAATTCAGCCTTCCCCACAAAATGACAGACGAAATTCAACATTCCTTCAAAATTTGCACTTCCCCCAATTTTGAGGTGCTGCCTTCCAACAGGAAAATGTGTACAAAAATTTCTTGTATTGGGGTGTGGCTGGGTATACATAGGAATGCATACTTTTGTATTAAAAACACATATCAAAATCAATTATATATTTTGGAAAGTTGCTTGCTCACTATGAAATTGGATGCCTCTGAAGATATCCACTTTTGCACAATGGTTCCTGCAATCAAGAAGCAGGTTTTCATCTATGTTTGGCTACAACTGGATGCTACTTTGAATCTTTTTATTGTTTTAATTTTATTATATGCTCATCACTGTTTACCTTTTATCTTTTCTATGTTTTCCGCTTTTAACATTTTATCTGCCTTTTTGTTTTTTGTGCAAGCCACCCTGAGTTCCAGCCTAGGAAAAAGGTGGGATATAAACAAATATTATTATAATAATGTTAATAATAGTAGTAGTGGTAACATTATGGGATGTACTTTTCAAAACTGATTCCACACACAACCTTAGAATTCCCAAGCGATGCCAGATACAAGGCTGGTAGCACATTTTACGAGGGGGAAACTGTTTTGCAAAATGTATACTGTTTTGCGGGATGTATGGAAGTGAGAGCTGGACCATCAAGAAGGCTGATCGTCGAAGAATTGATGCTTTTGAATTCTGCTGGAGGAGACTCTTGAGAGCCCCATGGACTGCAAGAAGATCAAACCTCTCCATTCTGAAGGAAATCAGCCCTGAGTGCTCACTGGAAGGACAGATCCTGAAGCTGAGGCTCCAAGACTTTGGCCACCTCATGAGAAGAGAAGACTCCCTGGAAAAGACCCTGATGTTGGGAAAGATGGAGGGCACAAGGAGAAGGGGACGGCAGAGGACGAGATGGTTGGACAGTGTTCTTGAAGCTACCAGCACGAGTCTGACCAAACTGCAGGAGGCAGTGGAAGACAGGAGTGCCTGGCGTGCTCTGGTCCATGGGGTCACGAAGAGTTGGACACGGCTAAACGACTAAACAACAATACATTAGGAGAAAATCACACTTCGTATATGGGCGAATTTTTATGGGGACTTTTTAAATAGAAAAATCAAATCAACAAACCAGTGTGGAAAACTGAGGCAGGGAAAAAAGGGAGAAACTAAGAAAAGTCAGCATTGACAAATTCATTTATCCCTGTGGTATAAGTCAGCGAAGGTCCTTTGCAAAGCAGAATTCCACCCACACAGGTCTTTGCCTGCACTTGGAAGGAAGGAAGGCTCCACCTGGTTCAAGATCCTGTACTTCCTTGGAACATCGCACACACAGAAATACACGTACACACTTTGTTCAGGTGTTGCACACCCCAAAAAAGGGAATCCACTCCACAATATGAAAAGCAATATACGTTTAGAGCCTTGATGCTCTTCTTGGTCACACCATGTCCTTTCCCAAGAATCTTGCAGAAGCAGATTCCAGCTTCCTGTATCAACAGATAGCATCCCAAGCCAAATATACACAGTGCAAAAGGAGAGAGCAGAGAGGCGGGTATAGAGAGCTGAGCTCCCACACACTATTTTGACCAGCGAAATAAATTACCACCAAGTCAAAATATTACTTTCCTTTGCAATGGAATGTGCTGAACACATCAACTGTGAAGGAGGGGGCAGCCTCAGTGGCAAAATCAGGATGCCCATTAGCAGTTCTTTGTAAAAAGTTGTTGTTGCTGCTATTATTATTATTATTATTATTATTATTATTATTAACGATCCCAGGGAAACAAGCAATGGCTGCACAGAAAATAGAAATAATCACCACCATCTGCATATAATAATCGTAATTGTACATACATACACCTCAATCACTGGATTTTTACACATCCCTTGGGAAGACAGGTGAACTAATGCCAGTGTACTGGAAGAAGCAAAGATCACCCGTGTCAAAGCAATGATTCTTCAACATCAACTTCATGGGACTGGTCATGTTGTGCGGATGCCTGATGATCGTCTTCCAAAGCAACTACTCTATTCCGAACTTAAAAATGGAAAGTGTAATGCTGGTGGTCAACAATAGAGGTTTAAAGACTGTCTCAAGGCAAATTTTAAAAATAATGTAGTATAAACACTGACAATTGGGAAACATTTGCCTGCGAGCGCTCCAGTTGGAGAACAGCCTTTACCAAAGGTGTCGTGGACTTTGAAGACACTCAAACTCAGGACGAAAGGGAGAACCGTGCTAAGAGGAAGGCACACTTGGCAAATCCACACCGTGATCAACTCCTGCTTGGAAACCTATGTCCCCACTCTGGAAGGACGTGTGGATCCAGAATTGGCCTCCACAGTCACTTATGGACTCACTGTGAAAACCATGTTTATGGAAGACAATCTTACTCAGCTACGAGGGATTGCGGAAGAAGAAGACGTAGAAGAAGAAGAAGAAGAAGAAGAAGAAGAAGAAGAAGAAGAAGAAGAAGGCCTACATACATACACAATACTATTAACACAAAATTAAAACCATTAAAACCTTACAAACATAAAAAATAAAAGAGCATTTCAGCGGTCCAGACAAATATATGTGCGAGAAGGATCTTTTCTTCAGGAAGATCTCTATTTCAGAATTTTGCTCTCCAACACATGGACTGGGGTGGGGGTGGGGGGGAGAAGGCGGTGTGCCAAGAGATCAGGGCTCATGCCATTTCGACCAAGTATGAAATTCCCAGATTGGGCTCCTGCCTTGCCCATATGTGGTGTAGATAGACTTGGCTTCTTAGCTGCTCCATCCATCATCGTCTCAAGACATTTACTGCACTCCCAATCACTCCGACTCCCTTCTTGCAGACAGCTGCATGTTGTCCATTAGTTCCAATGTTCTTAACCCCTTTGTTTTGGCTGAGAAATGTCCTGGGTATTTTATTTCCGTCATGGCAAATTTGCTCTTCTTTTATCCAATTTCAGTGTACCATGGTCCCCACCACCAACATAGAAACCTGTCTAGAGCTCACCTCAGCCTTTCTTTGTCTGGTCTTTCCCACGTGTTACCAGTGAGATCCTCGAATCAGCATCTCTGGAGCTGGAGAGATCTTGAATTGCACTCTGCAAAACTGGTTTACCTG